ATCATCCGACTGGAGATCATTGTACGGGCTCGTTGAGGTTCGTTACGAATCGCTTGCGCACAGTTTGTGAGTCGCGGCGCGCTGAAAACCGTTACCTCGGCACAGCGGGGTTCGTTAAGGGTGCGTCGCGGATCGAAACCCAACTATGATAAGAAAGTGGAGGAATCGTGACCGGAATCGAAGAATCGCAATCAAAATTTCTCCCAAGCAGAGTTCCACCCAAAACGATTGAAATCGAATTTCAGAGAGTATTCAAGATCGTGAGCTTGAGAAAAGAGCGCGGAGGAGAGAGTGCGAACCAGGGACCGAGTGCCGGAGAATGTTTTCACCGTCTTGCACGATTTCGCGCGGAGATAACAGACACAATCCAACGAAGCAACGGAGAACGGAGCTGCAGAGAGCAGAGGGGAACAAAAACGCTATTGTTAGGCAGCTTGATTGAAAAGCTTTGAGAAGCACCACTGGCACAATCCTTAGCTCGATCCTGGCCGAGTCGTTGCATTTCGGAGCCTTGCTCGGAGTCATTCTTCGGAGAGCCAATTCACTCTCGATCAGGCGAGAGTTTCGCAATGTTCGGCCCCATGGATCGCAGGAGACAGAAATCGGAGCAACAACTCTGGCAAATCCTGACAGCTTTCCCGCTTCCTCCCGCCTGGGATCTTAGTCCTGGTGGAATCCGTCCGATTCGTTGGCTCTTTGGGACTCTCTCGATGCGTTTTAGTCATCCTCGAGAAAGCACTGGACCCGAATCCATTCCATGCGATAAACCTATGAGGGGTTCTCCCTGCTCCGGCTAGCGTCTCCGGCTTGGTTCTGTTGGGCAGTAGCGCTCCGCGTGAATCGAAGAAGTACGGTGCAATGGTTCAGGGAAGAGTATCGATGAGTGGATCGATTTACGGGTCGCATCTCGATCTTTTCGAGAAGCTTCCCGATCTTTTTGTGCTCCTAATTCGGGAAGGAACGAGAGTTCCGAGACTACCGATCCGATCAAATGTGTTTTATTTACTTGATGAGATCCTGGAAGCCCACGGAGGAGCCTTGCGAGTTTGTGATACCTGGTTCCAGTACGACAGCAATGAACGACTTAACCGATCAGCCGAGTCATTGATTCCCGGGAAAATCGCGCGCAGATCCCGCGGAGGCTTCGGATTAAGATAAAATATCGGAGTCGAAGACTAGATTGGATCACCGGATGTTCAGAGAAGATTCAAAGAGCTGAAGAGATTGATGTTCGGGAATGAGACGAGAGAGCCCATCGGAACAACGGGGTCTGAACGTTTCGTGAAAATCCACGACGACGTCGTCCCAAGTCTGAGGTTTCGGAGCTCGATTGTCGCAGGAGCGATGAAGTTCCAGCAAGCGCTCTCGGCAAGCTCTGAGTAATCCAGCATCGAAATTCAGCCGAGAGCTTGTTAGCCTGGGGGAGCGCCCTCCATATACGACATCGATCGGAGCTCCTCTCTTCCACAGTCTTCGTTCAGTTAGTCGGAGAAGAATGTATTCGTCATCCAGTGCTGTTGATTCACGGTGCGGAACGTCCACCGAGGGGTCAGAAGAAAGCCTCGTATATCATCAGAGTCGAACCCGGAATGTTCGCACAGGCATCGACTACAGTATGATTCGCGTATCGTTGGAGGCGCCTTCCGTGGTCGATGATTCGTGATTTGTCCCGAAACTGTCGAGGATCCCGAAGGGAGAAGATAGCAGAAGGCCTCCAGGCTCGATCGAGATCAGCCCATGTCCCACAACGACCATCGCGGGAAGTCGCTTTGATTTGGAGCCTGTTCCCGCTCTCAACTTCAAGTATTTCGCCAGGGGCCTTTGAAAGTCACGGAGGCACGCACGCATGCTCGAACCGAGCTATCCAGCGAAATGAACAGACAAACACCCGGTCCCGCACGTCCTACCGCGTCCATTGTCACGCGCGCCCCACGTCTAGTTAACAACTCTTTCAGCGAATTGCCACGCAATTACACGGCGCGATAGCGCGGCAAGATTAATTGATCGCGAACACTCGCATGATCAATCATTCCCCCGCGGAGCTGGGAATCGATTTCGAACGAACCTCAGTATTCTCAATATGCCACATGTGAGATTCCCCAAGAGCAAGACCTAGTGTCAGGGAAACTCACCCAAGGGTTAGACGAACCTGTTTGACATGACCTACATCGTTGAGAGGATCAGCGATCGGCTCGAAGAGAGAGACAAGATCATCAATCGACGGGTTCTGGTTATCCAGACAAGCGAATTCGCAATACATCGAGCGTACCCGTAGCCCGAACTTTCAGTGACGGGAAAATGAATCTTTCGACTCATATCACCTCGGAGATTTTATTCCATTCGCCGAGAGATTCCGATCGGGCTAGGTCGATCCGTTCTTCCGAATCCTGAACTCGCCGCAGATTAAGCTAATAAAATGCCCTCGGGCCAGTTACGAAAATTCACTCGAGCAGAATGGCGAAACCCCGCTTCATACCTATGAGATTTCAGAACCGCTACCCGACCGGATCCTGGAAAATCAGCGATGGGAGAATCTCGTAGGGTAATCGGAAATTCGTTTCCAGACTCCCGTTGCGTTCTTTCTGGTCGCCAATAGAAGTCTACGAGCGTGGAAAAAATGATCTGCATACTTCGAGGTCTTCATTTAATGCGGGGGCTCATGCGAATTTCCAGAGTATTTCCTCGCAGCACATCTGATGGCGTCAGAGGAAGAGCTCCAAGCGTGATCGTTCTCCCGTTCCTTCCGCGAAGAAACAAATTGGATTCGTCTGAGAAAAGGTTTCCCCGGCTGAGTGGTAGTGGTCTCTTTCAGGACTAGTCTAGAATGGGAAAGAATGAAACGAAAGGGAGAACCTGGATCCCCTTATCGAAGCTACACATTCACTCTTTCGGCAGGAGCGGCGCCGAAGCAGAGAGAGAGGAATCCACATGAAGAAGAGCAGAGGGAGAGGAAGAGTTGCCTGGAGCGCACTCAACTTGACAAGGCACTTCTGTCTGGGCGACCCACGCCTTGATCTCCTCTTTTCCATTGATACATCAGATGGCCAGATCCCGTCTTCCGGCTTGTCGCTCCCTTCAACAAGACCATACCTGCTGTCAGGAACAATCCGTTCGGATCAGTAGAGAATCGATGCGGTGTGGGGTCGATCACAGACACTTCCGATGTTTCCTTCTGAGGAGAATCGTGGTAAGGAGCTCGCGGGGCGACGGAGTTTGGCCTCCAGGAGATTTTGATCACAAAACTGTGCCCGTCACGGGAGTAAGCTCAGGAGAAATCTCTGGAACGCTAGGCGCTCCGGTGGCGTTATGGAAAAGCTTCAAGCGCAGAAATGATTCGGTGCCTTTTTACCACATCGTTCCACCCCTCGTGGAGCTTTCGGTAGGTATGTAGAAATGAGGCTCGCCGGAGAGGACCTGATTCATGGTCTGCTTTCAGACCCGGAGAAAGCATGGACGGTGAAGCTTTTAGAGAAAAATTGGGGCCGCGAGAAAGGTTTCCCTTTTGTGAGAGTCGAAAAGGATCGAAAAGTGGCTCGCTAACAAATCGCCATGTAAAGGAGTGCTATTGAAGGCACAGTGCGAATACCCGATGACAAATGGATGGCAGTGGCGGCCTTAATTTTTGCCGAGGGACGTTGCTTTGTCGGCCTCTGCCCTCACACACGGCCTCTCTCGTTTGTGATATCTGCAGCTTCGATATCACAACGGAATAGGACCCACCGCGCGCTCTCATTCCCGGAGGCAATGTCTCCGCCAGAAATTCCAACAAGCAGGATACCCGCGCGGAGAGGATCCTCGTCAATGGAAGCGAGCGCAGGGTCTCTCGATGGGAAAAGAGAGCGCGAGGAGCGGAGCGTTGTTTTCCGGAACTCGGACTTCACCCGGCTTCAGCAAATCTCCGTGTTTCCCAATTCTTATCCACATTTCTACAGGAATGCCGAGGACGACCCTGTGGATGATAAGCAGAAGGTATTGAAGTCAATCGAGAGCGGGGGCCTCTCATCCTCAGTTTTGGATTGTTGTCACACCGATTTCTTCGTCGTGCACACCGTTCTTCGTCATCATGGACTCCGCAAAGACAGCCAATCCCTCCGGAATCCGTCCCCACTGGAAAATATTCCGGCATTCGAACATTTCCGGCTCCATTCGAGATTCGTTAGGTTCGCATCCACCTTCGTCCGCGGATGTTCATTACTTGATGCTTCGTCCCCGATTCTGATCAGAGACGCGGAGGATGCATCCCTCGCGTCCCCATCCTAATGCAGTCGCTCCCCGATACCCTGCCGCGGAATCGCGGAACGGTGTCATTGGACCTTTGTAGTATGAAGTGCTCGCAAGCTCACGAATCCGAAGCTTATTGTCGATTGGTGCAAGCGACGGGTATCATTGGTCTCAGGTCTCGATGGAAGCCGCAGCCATTTTTCCTTATCGAGGTTCGAGATCTCATGTTCGCCCCTTTAGGAGCCGCATGGGGCTCGGTTGAGCAGCGGGCTTGCAGCAGTCTCTCACGGAAGCCACTCCGGAGACGGTAGCGAGGACAGCGACGAAAACGAGAATATTCCTTAAGAATATTCTTGCCTCATGTTATGATTGTTATGATCCAGATATGTATAAGTCTAGTTTGCTGATTGATCCGCACCTACAAAGAGTCCGAAGTTTCGATCGGCTCTACCCATTGCTGTCCTTCTGATGATGGAAGTATGAGCAGCCGCTGTTTGAAGGTCGCTCTTTGATGTGGCGGAGGGTTGACCGTTCGAACGAAAGCATTGTCTCCCGTTGCAGCCCATTTTTCGCCTTGCATGGATCGTTACGAATAGTTCAATGCCGAAGCACAATGCCATCGGGAGCAGGTGATCCAATGTAGTCCGTCTGCAATTATGACAGCCTCCCGATGGGCTGGACAAACGCAGCCGTCTTGCGTACACGTTGCGAAACCTCCGAGAGGACTTGCGCTGCCGAAGTTTCATAGTCTATTCTGAAGCGGCGAGCGACGCAGAACAATGAAATCCGTTTTTTGGATTGGTAAGCTTTCCTTTTTCACGCTGCCTCTCCCCTGTCAACGTCTCCGTCTTCCGTGTCTGGGACGTCGATGGGACTCGATACGGTGTGGCCGAACTCCGCAAGATTTCGGAATATATTTGTTCCGTAGCGATCATCCTGGGCGTCTTCGTGCAAAATCTTTCTGGTGAAGGGGAACCGGAGGGCAGCGAGGAGGAAGAAAAAATTGGAGTATGCGGTCCAGTTCCAAGTATGTAGACACCGAAAGAGATTGGAAGGCTCTGAGTAGGAGAGGAATGTGAGCCGCGCAATTTGCGTTTCCCTTTCACGGTATTTTTCGTCCAGATCACGGACAAATGATGGGTGTGCTCAAGCCCATGTCTCACGTCGTCGTGTGTGCTGTCAATCAGATCATGGACTACGGAATCCTTCTGAAAGATATACAAAGAGTTCGTATCCGCCAATTTTTCTACCTGTGATGGGCTCTCGTCGAGGGCGTATTTCTCGCTGTACTCAGTTCCCTGTATTCGATTCTTCTCTCCCGCAACACTTTGGGCAAAGAATCGACCGTTTGAGATTCCAACTCGATTCCTCCCTATTTTCAGGTTGTGGAGCGCATATGCGTCGTTTTCGATAATTGCGTCCCTAAAGGGAAACTGGCGAATAATGTGAGTCGCGCCCTACGTTGCAGGGCTCTTCGCACATTTTCATCCAATGAGTCCATGGACTTGCCAAATATCTCTGACAACATTGCTGAAATTTTCAGAAAGCGGATAATCCTGAAGTGGTCTGTTTGAAGAAAGAGGTTGAAGCTGATCCCGGAAATGCAAGTATCGGATAATTCTCAGTCAGATTGGAATGTGGATGATCCCTCGTCGGGACTGGTTATGGTGGCTTGTCGGAGAGCACAATCGTATATTCGGATAACAATGATGATGATATGCCGATGTTTCCAGACCCAAGAGGGACCTGTGAACAAGACCGCAGTCGATCTCGTTTTCCGATGCTTGATGGTGCCTCTGCTGCCACTCCAGAAACAACCCATCTGGTCGGTGATTCATTGGGTGCTACAGATGACCAACATGTAATCGTGTCAGCTCCGATTGAGGGAACTCCAAGAGTTCAGAACGGCTCAAGATCAAATCCTCTTGGTCCCAATCCGAGGTACCTCGCTCCCTCTCCAAATTGCGATGAGGCGTTTGCTGAAGATTTCCGGAGCACCTCATATTACCTTCTGGCACCGTCCATGCGTTTTGGAAAGAGACGGGAATAAAGAAAATATAAAGGTCGAACTAGAAACCTGAAGCAACTACGGCGGGAAAACAAGGGCAAATATTTGGATTGAAGCTCCAACGCATAGTCCAGAAGAAATAGGAAGATTGAGCGCTGCCCCGCTCAGTCGTTCGCGGTTCTTTCGGATAGAGCTTCGTGGGAGGTATTTCAAGTTTTCTGCCCGAGTTCAATTGGCGAGTCCGTCGAGTATTTGTAAACGAAAGCTTTTCATCTTTTGGGAGTCGAAACAAGCAAAGCTCACCAAGCCTCCACACACAAAAAAACGCGGTCCGCACCCACTTCCGGTCGCCACTTTACTCCCGTCCACGGTTCCTCTCTAATAAGCGAAAGCTACGTCAGCTGGGGGTGGGGATCTCAACGTTTGCCGAGAGAGAGCGGGAGAGCATCAGACTCCCTAGGGAGATATGAGCGCGGGACATGGGACTGGGCTGGGGGAATCCCAACAGTACGTCGCACAAACTGAAAAATCGTCCCGACTAAAGTTTGATTTCGAAAAGCTCGATTCTGTTATGGGGGGAAAAGAATTCGTTCACTCTCTCAATGCCGCAGCTTCTATGAGATTGCTATCCATCTAGGAAATAGAGAGCGCAAATCCTCAAACAATCTCACGCGGGAGAGCAGAGTCTCTTCGTTGAAAGTGGGCTTCGTTGCTCCCCTTTCTCGGATCCCGAAATCCGCTGTCGGAGAGCCAGGTCGGACTCCGGTCATTGATTCACGCTCAGGAGTTTTGATGCGATTCGTATGAAAGCGTGAGCGAGAAAACGGGAATTTCCGCTCAGTGGGAGCCGGCTTCGACGTAACAGCTGTTGTTCCCGGTCTGACTCCACACTGCGAATAAGCGCAAGATCGAGAAAAATACCTCGACAGGCAGGGCTTTGGGAAATGTGGCGACGACGCCGACCGGTAGAAGGAAACATCAAAGGAAGGGATCTCTGTTCATTTTGCGAGATCGTGGCAGGCTGACAAGACAAGCTGCTCGGGAACAACATGCTCACCGGCTGAGTCGTCCTATCCGTTTTCGCACGAATGGAGCCACTGTCCTCGACGAGAGTGAAGACGCGACAGTCGGGAGTTCGGGAGACGAAGACAAAACATTCAAAACCAGCCGAATGGAATAGAGCACTCTAAGAGCTCGCCCACGAAATTCGCGCGATCAGCAGCTTGCCAGTGCTCTCGCCACTTGGCTCAGAAAGTCGAATCACCTCATGACTTTTTCATCTATTCATCATGAGTCGTGAATCAAGGGCTTCGGGAGTCACGCTCTTCAGGAAGCTCTGCGGAGCAATAGATTCATGCCATTTTCAAGGTACATAGATCGGGCGTTGAATTACGGGGATTTTTCTTTACGCGAACCTCTCACGCAGGGAAAGGGGCCGCCCTCTCATTCTAGTAACTCGATCCTGTCGGGCTAATCCTCCGAATCCTTTCTCGCTCTGACATCTCAAGCATCGCTCAGCCTTGCATCCGTAATCGGCTTGACTCCGACCCCTCTTGCCCCGTCAAGGCTTCGCCGTGATTCGGGAGGAATCTCGGTCGGACTCCAGCATTTCGCGCCTGCTAGCAGTTTCCTGAGGTCACGAGGGGCGATAGAAGTCTCCACCATAACCACGAAGAACGAATCTTCCTTTGAGATGCGTCGGCAGCCGCGATGGGGTTTTGGGTCATCGACGCGCTGAGGGAATGGCAAGGTCCACTTTCGACCATCTCTTCCATCGACGCAGAGAAACGTCTGACGCTCCACCAATCCTTGATTTCATTCCTCTGATAGCGAATATTCCCCTCATATTGAGGTGACCCCAAACCTGAAGGCTGAATCGTTGAAGGCAAGTTTCTCCGGCTGCCGATCTCTCTGATGCATACTCGACAGCGACAGGGTCACAAAAGCTATCATCGTCGCCTTCTAAGAGACCGCCCGCGCCGTTCCGTTTTTGTGCGTTGGTACTTGAATACCAATGGGGGAGTGATTCTCTGGGATGCTTGTTGGAAAGCAGACGAGAGCCCTCTTATTTATCCAGGCGGTCAGCTACTGCTTGGGATGAGTGGCCAAGTTGCTTCGTCAGAGCTGAAGAATTGCTCCCCGGCAGATGGTAGCCGGCTATCAACTTGAGGGCATTCATCGGCTATGCCGAGAAGCGACAGACGGGAGTCTCTATATCCCGATTGATAAAAAACGCTGTTGACGGTGGGATTCCCATCCGGCGCGGCAAGGCTCTCTCGACATTCCTCCGTGGGTATGGCGTTATGGATGCGGCTGGTCCTCATGCTCCCTCGTCGGAATCTTTTGGACCTTTTTTTGCGGTCTTCTCCGGAGACCCCATCCTGGAAATCCGATCTAGGAGCATATTCCTCCGGTTGTCAAAGTGGAGGATCCAATTGGGTTCTGTTCGGGGCTTCGCATCTCCCACCGGCCTCATCCCTTAACGTCAGTGAGCGATCCGGAATCACACCCGATGGTGCATTGACGTGAGAGCTCCTCAAGGGTAGGACGAATTCCGCCGAGCATTTCGAAGAGAGAGCAAAAGCTGCCATCGAGTTTGTCTGCGGGATCCCCCGGAAATTCGTGTTCTTTTTCTCTCAGGGAAGATCGAGGACTGGGTTCTAGCAAGAGATAATCATGAAACTAGCTGTTCATTGGTGCTTCATGGGCATGCTCATTCCATCCAGGTCGCACATCTTCTCAGGACGCAGTAGGGTATTCTCCGTCGCGCGCTAATCGCGGCTCAAGGCCCTGGCTTTTTCGAAGAGAGTTCCCCCTTTCCTGCTTCGAATGAGCAAAGCGAACAAACCGCGCTCTCTGCCACGTTCCTCCTAATTGAAGATTGCGGCGCCTCCATAAGTGATCACAGTGACATAAAGCAAGAGCGAAACCTTTGAGCGAAACAAGTCGGAAGATTTGCATAGGTCCCTGCTTGTCGATATTGCTTCCCTCTGGGAGACGGCCCGGAACAGCTTGAGATCACTGCTCTATACCGGGGGTGGCCAATTGGTGGACCCCGGACCACCTGTGGTCCGCCACTAAGATCCCGGTGGTCCGCGGAGCACCCCAAGCACTTCCCGGAAGAGACGTCGATGATATCTGAACGCGGCCTATGACCTTCGCAACGAGAACTCCCTTGTCTGCTCAGCCAGCGATGAGACAGCCGCACGTGCTGCACAAGGCTCAGTGGATACGGGGCGGCGTTCTGGATGAGTTCGTTCTCGTATTCCGATTCAGAAACATATGACCTATAGCTTGGTGGTCCGCGGGCCCGGTCGCCAAGGCCTTAGTGGTCCGCGGGAGCAGAGAGGTTGGCCACCCCTGCTCAATACAGTCGAACCCGCTCAAAGGAGAATCACTGCGGATCCGGGAAAATTTTCTTGAACGCGGTCCCTCATTTCACGATCAAGGTGTGCCCCCGCGCGTCATTCTAGTAACTTTCCATCCCCTTCATTCGCTGAATCGATGTATAGAACGTGTCTTTGCTCCTCTGGGAAATGCAGCCTATTGATTCACACAAAGGATAACCCTATCCGATTGGATTCGATGTGGTTTACAAGTCGTATCGTCATCGTCTTCAAGCAGAGCTTTGCTTGTTGAGAGTGATCGTCCATTTTCTTCTGGTTACAACCTTCGAGAACTCAAGTCAAGACTTTGGAGGGCGGACTTAACGAGGGTTCCTCTCTCAAGCGAGGCTTCCATCATGAGATCCTATGGGAGCGAAAACCCGGAAGATTCCGCTCATACACCCTGCCCTCTGACATGCGGGTGCTCATAAACTCAGGACCGAGGTTTCCTACATTGGAGTTCACGGAGAATAAAACGGTCTCTCACATCACGACTCAGACCCTCAAAGTTAGAAGACGCCCGCTTCGGGAGAATCCATCCAGATCGTACGATCTCGGACCAATCTTGGGGCAGGAGTCGATGGTGGTCAGCGCAAGATCTTGCAGACCGTGATCGATTGTTGCATAAGGAGACCTTTGCAGTGCTCGCTCCTCCGGAGTCACGGAACACGACGGGGAAGCTGAGGTATTTGATCAGCTTCCTCAGATCAATAAACAGGTATTGAGCTGACATATCCGTTCACAGCAGGGTTGCTCTTCCACGAGAAAGTTCATACGACATCTAGGCTTGGGTCACGGCACAGAAGTACTTAGCACACATTGATCATCGGGAGACATTCCAGAAGACAATCGGTGGACAGCTCATTTCGCTGAGAATCTCCCGGGGTCCGTAGAAGACTTTGGGGGCTTCCGATGGAGAGTGTTCGCAGCTGGAATCGGGTTCGGAGTCCCCAACGCGGTTCAGAGTCGCCTAGGCAACCAGGTCGACTTCTTGTTCCGCGGAACGCCCTTAGTGTCCGAGGTCTAATCTATTGTCTTTATCTTGTCGTTATCTTATTATTATCGCTCTCTCTGAGTATCCTCGACGATACTCGCGATAAGCTTCAGGAGCGAGTCGGCGAAAGTCTTCCTAACTATAAACCTTCGACTACGATGGAGAGCACACTCCGCAAACCAGTATCATACCGCAAGAATGTGGTTGATAGTTGAGAGCCTCGGATCGATTCACGCCAGACTTTTGATGGTAAGCAGCATCCAGAGGGGGCTCGTTCCGAGGAATACATGAGAGATCAGACAGGGAGCTCAATACCACGAGTCGTCTGGAAGCTCCCATCGGTTGTCGCACCGATCCGTTTATTATTGTTCACCCCGGGATCATAGACCCAACGGAGGCCTTTTCTGGGGCGCTCCTTTGGCTAAGACACTAGAAGATTCGAGACCGGCATGGATTTCTCGGCTGCGGAACCGAAAAAAGTCTGGGTGGCCGGCATCGGAGTTCACCGAGAGGGATGCGACGAAGGCGAATGAGCCGACTCGGCCGTCTTGAGCGATGGCCGGTGGAGTCGTTTGACTGTCGTAGATTGAGAATACTGCCTTTGGGTAATGCTTGAGGAGCCCGCTCCGAGGTTCCCCTCTGCTTATGGTCTTATTGACTCCGGGTGGCGGACAAATCAGTGGTGTTACATCGGTGGGGTTACATTATACTCGTGTATCTTTGGCGACGTGGGATGTCTTGTATAATGAATTCCTATCTGCAACCTGGCGATTCGGGGATGGAATTCCTTAGCCAGGGTGGTCAAACACAACCCGAATGTCACGTGCGAATCGGCTCTTCGCAAGAGAATCGATGATTAGACCTCCAATATCCCAGCTAGTGGTTCCCTCACCTAGATGAAGGGCACGAAACGTCGCCTAGGTCAGGCCGCATTACTTGTAATCGCATTTCAACCAGGAGAAAAGGAGACGCGCCGCCTGATTGATTGTCGAAAATCACCAACCCCAGAGCCTTTGAGAAGCCGTCACACCGAATTCGGGTTCTGCTCGTAGTTGACTAGGAAAAGATGTCTTACGAGGCATCCTCATTGGAGAGAATTCTGAAATTGGCGCCAGAGGTACCCGACGGATCATGTCATTCGTGATTGCACTGCATCGCCTCGAAAATCATATGAAAATTCGCTCCGTGTGACGTCGACCCTGTTTCCGTGCTCAAACACCAATCCTCCTGTCAAGATTCTCGTGTCGCTGCCCTCACGCAGCCCGGCACGGCGATAGGTTCACTCTTTCCATGACGTCGATTGCTCATATTCTGCATACTGCTCGAAATGGAGTGTTCATGGCCACAATACGACTCTGCACCGAATAAGCGATTGCCAAGCTTATCGATTGGTCGAATTGTTCTCCGAGTACTCATTTCTTTACACGGGGAAGGAAAAAAAGCATAAAGGTCATCATCGGCAAAACCTTCTCTCAAGGCTCGATAGAGCATTTCACCCCTCCTCTGTCGCGGCCAGGTAGCCTCCGGAGTATAGAGATCGAGTAATCAGTGTTTAAGTATTCGACGTCAAGGAACGATAAAGATTTCAGAGACATCGAGTCGAACCAATCAAGCGACGAGGGCAGAGGCTCAAGCAAAGACCTGATACCATCGCCGAATCGGCTCCACGTGTTCATGAATTCTCACGCGATGTCGACCCGCACTATAAAAGACGTTTCGAGGGCAGAGTTCACCATTTGCGCCATGATAGTCGAATCAGTGCTGATTTGCGTGTTAGCTTCAAGGGATGTTCTGTCCCAGCAGAGGTCAGGAAAGTTGATCTGAATCGAGGAAACATGTGCTCTAAGCATGTGGTTTCCGGAGATTACTTTCCATAATTTTTGAGGGATTTTCCATCAAGAGCTGGGAGATGTGCTGTGATTCTTTTGTGTACACCGATGGCTGGAGTAACGAATCACTGTTTTCAGACCGGTACTTGCGAATGGCGCCGGCGTAAGTATCTACCATGTTCGGTGGGACATTGAGCGACATTTCCCGTCGATAACTCGTGGGGAAACCGCAGGAATCGATGCTCCCATTTTTCCTTTCGCAGACATACATGGGAGGTGGTGCCGTGAGAGGTGGTGGAGCCGCTAGAGGCGGTGGAGGAGTCGTGAAAGGTGGAGCTGTTAAGGGGGGAGGCATGAGGGGTGGATCCAATGTCTACAAAGCTGGAGTGATTGGCGGCAACGGTGGAGGAAACGCTGTCATGATGCGGAATGGCGGAGGCGCTGGAATGGGGGTGAGCTCCGAGCTGTGGCTCATCGATGTTATTTCGATTAGTATACAGTTACGGAGGAGCAATAATGCTGAAACTACATGGGGCTCTTCGCAGATGGGCGGAGGGTTCGGTGGGGGCGGAGGTCAAAATGTGAGTACAGGGTTCGATCGAATCTCCGCGCAGATATCTGCAGCGGCCTCTCAGCCGACATCTGCCATCTCGCAACCCTTTCTAGAGAATGATGATGATGGGCCATGGTGGCGGTGGAGGGGGCGGAGGCGGCATGGCCTGGGGCCCGGGTGGAGCAGGCGGAGGAGGATTCAGCATGGGAGGAGGCAATCAAGAGCAGAAAACGATAAAGAAAACGGTCCGATACTACTCGAATGGTCCCGCGCACGGCGAAGGTACGAAATCAAGTCGATGTGGAAAAGTCATCCGGAAAACAAAATTTATAATATGCATAGGGATCGGATGTCTCCGAGAATAGGATGGTCCATTCATTGTATCGCTACCACTACTGTTCTTTCGTATAACACGAAAATCCATTGCCTCCAGGTGAACAGTCCCATGCATCTATGAGCCATGGCGGTGGTTCTAAGTCTCAGGGTGCCTCACATGGCGGAGGCGCAAGCCTCTCGGGCGGATCTGCCGCTAAGGGCTCCTCCAAGAGTACGAAGAGCTCACTTGCGCTGTCCGGCGAAGCGTCTGGTCATTCTGATGGCCACGCGGCAGCAGAGAAACACAGCGAATCTCACAGCGCAGGAGGAAGCATGAGTGCCGACCTTCACGGCGGAGGCGGCATGAGCTCTCATGCGAAGTCTGGCGGTGGTCTTGACCTCAGCGCCAAGGCGAAATCTGGAGGCGGGCTAGATCTCGGCGGTGGGGCGAGCGCGAAATCCGGACTTGGACTGGACCTCGGAGGAGGAGCGAGCGGAAAATCTGGCTTGGGACTGGACCTTGGCGGAGCTGCGGGTGGAAAATCAGGATTGGGATTGGACCTCGGCGGTGGTGCCAGCGCAAAATCTGGCTCGGGACTGGACCTTGGCGGAGCTGCGGGTGGAAAATCAGGATTGGGATTGGACCTCAGCGGTGGCGCCAGCGGAAAATCCGGCGGTGGGCTGGATCTCAGTGGCGCATCTGGCTTGGGTCTGGGAGGCGGCCTCGGCTTGGGTGGTGACGCTAAAGCAGGTTCATCCCTGGGAGGGGGATTGTCAGGAAAATCGAAGAAATCAGGGAAAGCGAGTCTCGACGGTGGCTTGTCGGGAGGGCTCGATGCTAAGGGGAAGAGCAAAGCAAAAGGAGGTGGTCTTGGTGGACTCCTCGGGGAACTCGAAGCGGATCTCGGGCTGGACGGAAAAGGAGGAGGAGGAGGCCTGGGATTGGGTGGTAAAGCAGGCGGCAGCTTGGGCCTGGACCGGAAAGGGGGAGGAGGCTTGGGTGGAAAGGGAGGCTTGGGCCTCGGAGGAAGCGGAGGTCTCGGAGGTAGTCTTGGATCGGGCGGGGGTCTTGGGGGTGCTCTCGGATCGGCTGGGAGTCTGGGGGGAGGTGGAGGTCTCGGAGGTGCCTTGGGATCAGGAGGAAGTCTGGGGGGAGCTTCGGGTCTAGCCAGTGCTCTGGGAGGAGGCTCGGCACTCGGCGGCGGTTCGGGATTAGCGAGTGCTTTGGGCGGCGGTGGGGGAGTGAGTGGAACCTCGGGCCTGGCGAGCGCTCTCGGCGGCAGATAATCAGCGGTCGGCTCAATGGATTCAATATTTCCCAACTATCTTTCGGGAGGACAACAGGATTTCTGCTTTTGAATATTTCGGAGCTATCTTCAGCAAGGTCTAATCGATGATTCGATTGAATAACAACTCAATGCCGATGATTGGAATGGAAGGAAAATCCAGCAGCTGGATTCGATATAAAACCATTCGGGACGCGGATATCATCACGTCAGAGCAGTAGTCGACTAGATCTTCGTGGAAAACTACTAAACGGTGCCTGAGGTCGTCGGGACGGTGAATTTAGAATGATACAATTTCTATTAAAAAGGAGATCTCACCTAATGGTTGATAGCTAAGTATTATAAACCTTTACGGTCGTGTACACATGTAGAAAGATGGAGGCGGAATAAAATACTATCGGCCTGAAGACATTAGCTCCCAGGATGGATTTGATATCCCACTCGAAAAAGTTAATCTAATGATATGCCGTGAAAGTCTACTCTCATGCCCGGGCTTTTGTACGGCGAATATCTGATGAATGCATCATGATCAGTGCGGTGATGACATAGTCACGGAAACAGCCGTGAATATTCACGGCATTCTCAGGCGAGCCTCCATAGAGACTCTGAAGGGGGCGAGAAGTCTTATGAATTTTCTGAAAGAATGCCGCCCTAGACTGCCAGCCTCAATCATGATTCACTGCGCGACTGAATCGTCCACGGAGGTTCAAGACTTCCGCGGAATCTCTACAAGAAATTCCGGCGTTATATTGCCAGTGCATTGGTTAGCGGAGTGCAGCGGTATTGATATCCATTGAAAGGTTGTTGCATGTCAGATTCACATCCGAGAAGAAGCACCGCTTCCGTCATGGAATCTAAGCGGAAGTCAAACCATTTTTCGATACTCCATCCGCGGAGAAAAGATCGGTTCTCCTTCCATGCGGAGGAGAAATGTGGTGTCAGAATTCCGTTGCTTTGCACCTGCTCGGTGAAGGAGGCTGATTCGAAGGGGAAACAGCGGAGCCCGGGAGCGGCCTGCTCCTATAACGGCGAGAGGGGACCCGAACTCCGCTTGCTAGAATGTCCGGGAATCTCCCCGGGGTGCACAGTCGGCTCAGGGCTCGAGCAAGGAAGCCGAATGAATCTTGGTCTTTATTCGTGTTCGTGGTGTTCCATCCATATATTGAATGTGTTCCGCGTAATACCGCTGAGTTGCGATTCGTCGACGAGAGCTTCGAGAATTTCACTTGAAAAGTTGAACACATCAGGATTACCGCGGGGTCTGAGGTCGGAGCCATGCTTGCTCCAACAAATCTCGGCTGGAGATCATCTAACGAGCCGTTCACAGCGAAACCACAAGCTGTAAGAGAAGTTTCTCCCCCATTCGGGGTGGATCATTGTAATGGGAACAATTGACGAGCGACACCATTTTCTTCACCTGTAGTCGCTGATCGATCCACGATAAGCAACCCCCGAGTCAAAACGAAAAACGATATACCATGAGAAACATTGCTGAGGACTGACATTCGCTTATCAAACTGATTTTCAGGGTGTTACCGTAAACGTCGTTCACGGTTTTCGGTACGGCAGAGTCTGTCGGGGCGACGCTGAGGAAGGACTCATCGACCGAGACCAATTATTCTGTGGGATACGACGAGAGAGGAATCCTTCAGCCAGAAATGCGTTGCACTGTAGAACTTTCGCTCAAGGAGAGTGACCTCTCGTGATCTAGAGTCGTCTGCTGAATATTTTATTTGACAGGATGATTCATAGAAAAGTTGTGGGCGCGGTCGAGAACTCCCTGTTCTCACAGAGGGCTGAAGGCACGTCATGCATCATCAGGAAAAAAACATTCGTACGCAGAAGATTGCGCACGAGCATATCGATATGCATCCTTCGAAATACCATTTTCCAGAGCCTGCTCTCGATCCTCCGCACTACAGCCCTAAGAGTCGTAGATCAATCATGCATATTTCGATTATCAATGTCTCTCTAGGGATCACAGTGAGTGCCCAAGCATTTAGAGAGTCCACTTATGCCGGACAGGCTTGAAATCGAATACGTCTGGGTGTCCAAGAGGTCTTTGGCTGAACACTGACTCGCTCCACGAGAACGTCGGCTGGATATCATTCGTCGGTCCACAGATCGCGAGGAAGCTGCAAGGCGGGCGTTAATGAAAAACGAAGTTCATTCGTTCGTAAGATTGCTCAGAGCTCAATCTTCGGCCAGAATATCCTACCTGAAGTCACGTATCGATCTCGCATCAGCGACTTTGGCATCGATCGCTCCGGCTGCTCCCAGTTTCATGCCCTCGTGGTCGTAGTGACCATCTTTCTCGAATAGATCGTAACGGGAAGCGATCGCGTAGCTTGGGCTGTAGGGGGGAGTGCAGTTGCATCGACTCAGAGGGTCCTCCTTGTAGTCGTTGTATCTGGAGCATGAGAATTCCGAACAATAGGTGGATGTGATGTAGGCAGCTCTGATATTTCCGTTTCGGACATTTTGCCACAGAGGCGCGGATCCGAGACCAGTTCATCTGCAATGTTTTCACCTGAGGAGGGACATCATCGAAGCAGCGTCAGAAACTCTGAACTCGTCTCTTCTGAAAATTTTCGCTCTCGGACAGCTGTCATGACCGTAAAAATCTCCGTGCTCGCGGAATTTGGCTTCATAACCGCTCTCGTTGTAAATCGCCGGAAAATACCTGGGATCAAAAAATTCTGATGGCAGCTGTGCGAATTCGATTGAACAGATACTGGAAGTCGAAAGGGTGAAACGATTCTGTCGCAACTTACGGGACGTTGTAGCTCGCCCAGTAACCTTGGCTTTGAAGAACTTCTGTCATGTCTTGGGCTACGATAAGCGTCCTGTATTCAGGCGAAGAAAAGATCTTGAGACTGAAGAATACGCTGGAGCCGACGCGATCTCCACCCGAAACAAGATCGGAATGAGTCCCACGTGCTTAATGGAGAATTCCAGAAAAGCCTTACGGTAGTTGCTCGAGAATCCAGAAAGCTTCGTTGGCCAGAGTCACTCCCGCAGCTGTCAGCTCGACTTTGTTGTAATCGAGAACCACCCATTGGTTGTTGTAAGTACCGCTGCTGTGTTTCTCGAATGTCCGGGTCCAGTGACGTCCATCTTTTGCGAGCCGATTCGCGACCATTGCTCGAAAACCCGTGGGTACAGTTTCGGTTCCGAGGTCGAGAAACAGTGCCTTGTTGAAAACATTATTCGTGGTTTCGGAGACGGCAAGACCGGTCGAAACTACGTAGAAGTCATCCATGGAGTTCAATTTCCCCGGATATGAAGACATCGAGATCGAATGGCCTGGGACGCGATACCCTGGAACCAGAACCCCTTATTCCTTCGGACTGCTTTCACGCCAGTCATCTTCACAGAGTCAGCACGACTCAACAAACAAGACACGAGGGGGATCTGAACTTCAGGAATGACCCGCTCAATCGTTCTGTTTCACTCACCAGCACCATGATAGACCTCGAAGGGCATCATGTATTTCTTCTGAACTCGGAGCATGGTTCGATAAGAAGTCCATGCGCTATGACCGATTATGACGTCCTTCTCCGCAATCTTGACGAGGAGCGAACACGGCGAGATCAAGCTGATGCTGTTGTTGTCCGGGACCCGTCCGAAAACCGATTCCAAGTCGAAGAGGGCTCCCTCATTGTTTATGAAACTTGCATAGGATGCTAACTCAGACATCAACCCCACAAAAATCCGCATCGCCCATGGGAAATCGCCAGATTCTGGCATTGACATCCTCTGAACTTACTAGAGAAAATCCAGGTCCTCGTATCCCCCGCTGGCATTCAGCATCGCCTGGCTGTAGCCGTCCCTTATGCCCGCCATTTGTTTCAGAATCAGATACACCTGATTCCAGAAGGGAGACCTATAGCGTTCTTCCAGAGATCGCTCATTCATGAACTTCAGCTGTCTCGTGAAGTAGGTCCGTAGTTTGACACAGTATTCCGCATTGTTCACGCAGTAGTCACCGAACATATTCTTGGAATGATTCCTTATCAGATCGCGACTGAGAGTTCCTTCCAGAGCCCCCGCAGCGTAGGCCGTGACCTCATCTTCATAGGAGGGGTTTGTCCTTATTTCGAGGTACGACCACCTGAGTCCGGAGCACAGGGGTGGTTAGTGTGTAGCACCCATAGCATATTTCCGTTCATCGCCGAATAGTTCCACCGTTCACGCTGTTCGGCATAGATGTCTGATCAGCGTTGGCGACCGCAAGCCGTGGAAAAAAACGGGATTTGGGACGAGGAACGAACTGATTGAGACCTGGGGGTCTCGACTCAACTTATTGACTAACCCTTCCTTGGTGATCGAGTTCTGGTAACTGGCCCAGGCTAAGGCTCCCGGTGGCTTACCGGGCACCAGGCTGATATCATCACCGTTTCGGATAGCAGACAGGAACACGTCCACTGGTTTCTGCGAGACACAAAGTCCGAACAGAGTTGAGAGTGCGACGAGGTTCCGAAGCCGAAACATTCTCACGACGGATCCCGCCTTCGGTGCGAGCGATTCGTTGAGAAGGCTCCTTCACACTGCTCTACCGAGCACGGGAGCGTTGGATGAGATGGATCCCCAAGTCGAGGCTGCAGATAAAGGATCGATTGAGACCGACGATTCCTTTTTATCTTGTCACACTCGGCTAGAGCAGTCGTTTTGAGACGCTCATCAGATTCCCTCCGCTAAGCGCTAAGTCCTATTTATACATCCTGATCTCTGTGGCGACTTCCTCATGAGACAAGGTTCTGCGAAGGTTCTGATTTTGGCTCTCCTGTGAAGGAAGTTCTCCCACCCCTGAAATCTATAATTACGAATGCTTCTGAGGTACTTCTCCACAATACTCCCGGAGCAGACAGCAAGTCAGGTTCGGCTCGCGAACAGGAACGTATCTTGATGATGACATCAGATTCTACATCAAACTCGACCACAATCTCACCACTGCAACGATCGAGTGATCTCCAGTACAGGCATACCGATGATACCTAGGGGATTCAGCTGGTCACCAAATTACAGCGCTGTAATCGGCCCAAGGGATCAGCTGTAAGCTTCCTGAACGGTTTCAGGAGTTCGAATTATAGGAGCTGCCAATAGTTTTGTGTGTAATCCTTCGCGAATACTGTGATGTCGAAAAGAATTTATTTCGATGCAAACGTAAATATTAGACATTCCCGTGCTTGACGGATGAATCGACTAACCGGCCGACCGGGCGTGTTTATCGGAGCTCTGGATGGAAAACAGTCTCTTTGCGGACAAGGAGATGAGCATGGAGTGCATCAACGAGATAAACTCTGAGCCAGAGATCCTTAAAAGACTAGGCCTACACGAGGTCTCAACAAGAAGAACGGTAGAGCGAACGAAAAGAAGTCTTGAGAGACGGGAGCGGGAGACGAAAAGACACGCTCCCGCACGCGTCGGATCCACCAACCACTAACGAGCTGAGAAGACTCGCCCCCGCACATGGGGTCTCTTGGATGCAATGCAAAGCATGTACATATTACCAGGAATGGTTGATGATTGATGAATCAATCAATCTATGAAAGGTGCTTGACACGAAGATCGACGCCACGGCGTCAACTCACGGCTACGGCGCGCTGCGGACATGATTCCGCATACGCGAAGATCAATATCCATGGAGAGACTCTGCATCAGAGAAACATACCGCTCACGATCCGCAGGGCTCCGAGAAAAGAGCTCCACAGATCGGAACATCCGAGACTCCCGTAGAGTAGGAAAGAGAGCATTCTGAATATGAAGAGCGAGATCGGGCTTTCTCTTGGTGCTGACATGCGCGGAGCAATCGATCTTTCGAGATGCGCGGCTCGTATTTCCAGACAAGCCAATCGGCACCAATATATTGATTACTGATTACTTTTCATCTAGCGGCTCGAGATCGTCGTTAGGATATTATTCGGTCCCGCAACCCAGCTCCATGAGGTGGAGGGAGGAGAGGTCGAATGACTCTTTGCAGGTCAGCGACGGGTCGAGCGCATGGTGACAATCTCGGGCAGGCGGTGCTAAGCCAGGCGCTCTGAAGGGCGGTGCACGCACGTCTGTCGACGACGCAGCGCCGAAGCCGCGCCGCGTGGCTCCAGCAGGAATGAAAAGCTCCCCCGAGGACTCGACCTTCGGAGCCGAGAGGCTTACTCGATTCAAGAGATGACCCACCCCCAAAAGATCCAAGGCTTCTCTTCGGACCGCAAGCGTATCCATGTAGCGTCTATCGAAAGCCCCTCGACCGTACGCACAGGGCTCCTAAAAAATCTTAGGGTTTCATCGGCGATTTCTCAAGGTCTCATGGACGATTTTGCCGGGCTCCACGCTCGGATAACTGTGGGTTGCGTAGGCTCCATGACTTGACTTTGCTTCATGTGTTTTTTATAGATAATGACTCGTAATGCCGTCTTATTCCCTTCAATAATTCCCTGTGCCGGTAGGCCCGAGTCTCAATGACAAGATAGACTGATTTCCGACAAGCCGGTGATTGGTCTGGAGTTCTGAACACATTATTGAAATACATATTGGATACCTAGGGGCTCCATTAGGGATGCCGCGTATGGAGGGAGGACCAAGAAGGGTGCCACAAGAAAGAAAATTTGGTAATTGCTGCTATAAGGGCCCAAGATTTGGTGCCCGGGGGCTCAGCTCCGGAAATGCGTCGAAATTGCGGCTCATTCGTAAGCACGCACAGATCAGCGCGTACACGCGAGTTTCGATGTGATCTCGGAGAGAAGCTCGATCGTACATGATCCGATTCCAGGCTTTCCGTCTTGGATTTATTTCGCAAATGCATTGGCATTGGCCGGCTCCTCGCCTGCTACTCAGTCCATAGTCCGCATGGATATTGTGAGACCGAAAACTAAGGCCAACGATGGGCCAGCCGATGACCTCGATTCGGAACGGATGCACGGAATCATCTGGACCTGGCGCATGTCCTCAGCGAACTAGCCCGGTGAAGGCTGAAGTCTAGTTCAGTCGCGGGTTTCGAGCCCTCGTACCCAGTACATAAATGTGTGTGTAAGTCTGAACGATCCCAGGTCTGCTTCGGTATTCGTCGCCGCTCGAACCTGCGGCAATCAATGTCCGGGGCGGTGAGGGACGCAGGCTCGCCAGAGAGTCATTCGGCATGATTTCCAATCGAATGAAGAAATACTTATCCCCTATAAGCCCCCACATAAGCCCCCTGTATATTCATTCCATTTCATTTATTACATAGGGATGAGTATGGGCATGGAACCCGCAAGCCCTACCGGGCCGCACTTTAGCTAGACATAACATGAATTCGAAGTTTACGTTTAAATTCACGGTACTTGGTAATTCCTCGGAGATCAGCAGGGAAATCATTCCATACATTAGAAATTTGGTATTTGGGCGACGCTCTGGAGGACGAATGAACTACTCGAGCCACCCTGAGACGAAAGTTTCTAGACGATCTGAGGGAGTCGACGAACTCCGAGATACACGACTTGGGAACGGACGCAGGGAAGTAGATCGACAAGAAGGCTAGGCAAGCTATGCGATAGGCGCAAACTTGACGAGCATCGAAAAATGAGAGTGACTTGAGCAGAGGGCAGACCGACGAACGAGGTGGCAGTCCGTAGATAGCTCTAGTTGCGCTACATATCGGAAGCGCTATGTCCGTCTGTACGCCAGTTATCAGCAGAACAGGAATTCCCTCGCGTGTATCAAGTTTTTTGAGACGGACCGGTGCAGCATGATTTGTAGTTTTACAAGTTTGAGCTTGGTCCCGATTGTATGCACTCTTCACTGCTGAATGGTGAATAATAGGTCCACCCCGAAGGTGATAGGGGCAAAAAGGCGAGATCGTCGATCACTTGATCCCCAATCGCCTCGAATGATACCAGAAACGCATTCACTGGAGTTGATAATGATCAGAAAGATCATCGTCATGACGATGCGAGTTCACGTCGGAATCCACGATTCAGCTTAGAAGCGGAAATCATGAATTTTGCGCTCTGTCCGCAGGGATACGTATTCGGCGTGCCCACGCTTCTGCGAAGAGACACGAAAGCTCCGAAGGTTGCTTGTTTCATGAAAGCGTTGAGGGATGTATCATTGATGAGTGCGGGCAATCTCAACAAGTGAATGGCATTTTGCAACATTGTGCAACAAAGCTGCAAGAAGTTCACGCTCGAGTTTTCGCGTGCTCTAATAATATTTCGACAGCTCCCGGCGTTCTCAGTCGCTCTGCTCCCGGCAATTCGCAGCCGAGGACCTTGCCACAACTCGCGATGCCGGATTACGGTGACTTGTCCGAACGGGCCGTAGCTTTACCCGAATTCCTCGCAAACCTTCGCTCGCAGAACGAGTCTTTCGACATTACTCTACGACACCTCCAAGGATAAGAATGGCTCGATCGCCATTGAGTTGGAGGACCTCGTCTCGGCATGCGCAACGGATCGTAGAGCGCTCTCCGTGTATCGCAAGTCGATCAAACCTCGATGAACAAAGTATCGCCCAAGAACGGAGTCTAGAGCACGCGAAGGGAATTATCGACCGTACTTCCTTATTCGTCACAAACCCGGAAGGAGCGCTCCAGTGATCGGTCAGACGGAATCCTCTCGCGAATTAATCGATACTCCCGACGAGCTCATCCTCATGATCACCTCATTCATTTACGCTCGGTGCCGAATGCACCATCGATTGGAGAAAGTGGGCTCCTTCTTGTCGGATCACCACGGAAACTGGCCCCATCAGACAGCTGGTCGCTGTTCCCTCGACGTCGTCGCATCTGTCGGAGGAAAGAGTGTTCATGAGGGTCCAATCAACGCCCTGGGGTGATTCGACCACCAGGTTCCGCGTTCAGGTTTTCTTGGTGGCTCGACGTGAGACTTCCGATATGCCGAGATTAAGTGGTCCGATATCCGGCTGCAAGATACTGCGACGTCATCGATGGGACACAGAGCCAAAATCCCGTTAGTTCACTGATCCAGACATCGAAATTGTTTATTGATGTATCTATTGTCTGCTTCCAGATGAGAAAATCGCGAAAATCAATGTCGCAAGGGTATCCGATATCCGAGGCCATCTCTGTAATATTCGAGGCCTTCGGGTTGCCGGAGACTCCTTTCGGCAAGAGGGAAAACCGTGGAGGGTGATATGCAGCTCTTGATGAACTGGTTTCCCTGATCCCTCGGTGGGGAACGCATGAGGCCAACAAGCCAGCCTTTAATTCAGGAGTGGATTGAGCTCGGGGAACGGACCTCGCTTGCTCATCTGAGTTCCGGAGGCTGTGAGGAAAGGCTGACGAAGACATCGCAGTGATGGAGGACCGACTCGTCATTCATGGCGAGCCGTTCGCAGATGAGGCCATTTCCCTTACCGTCGAAATTCCGTGAGACGGACATGAAGGAGGAATGGGGGACTTCAGGGGAACTGGCCTTCCTCAACAATGAAATCCTGAAAACATGATTCGCGTCGAGCGCAATAATCTGTCGACGCGTGAAAACGTCACGTCTGCGACATCTGACCCGAATAACATTTCCCCGGTCCCATAAGGCAACCTTAGAGATACAATCTATGCTCGAGGCGAGCGTCTGACTGAGCTACTTGGAAGCTTCTCATCCGGTGTCGCGACCAT